ATCTCAAAATTAGACCAGCATCTACAAAACGCATTGAAGAAAACATGCAGAACTATTTTGGATAGGGGCTTCAGAAGTGATATTAGTGATTCCACTGGACAAAGAAATCAAGAGCAGAAATAAACAAATGGGATCACACCAAACTAAAAAGCTTTTGTATAGCAAAAAAAAAAAAAAGAAAAAAATGCTAAAATTAAAAGTTATCTTATTGAGAGGGAAAAAAACATTTGAAACCTATGCTTTTGATAAAGAAATTGATATCCAAAATATATAAGACTAAAAAACCAATAACTCCATAAAAATAAAAGATTGGTCTATAGTTACTGATGGCAACATGTATGTCCTTAGGGGTGATGCTACATGGAACACAGGATGAAAACCATATTGTATGAATACTACACCTGTACCTCATTTGCAAACACACCCACACTGAACTTTACTTCCCCCAGTACACAGGCACCGTAAACTCCTAAAGAGGCTCAGAAGGAAAATGAAGGATGCTGACCCTTCACCCTCACCCTTTTCTGTGTCCTGAAGGGGAAGCAGTAAAGCTTCCGTGACTGGCTACTCCCAGGAGAGGATCACACAGTAAACTGCAGTCTTCTTTGTGCCCGTAAAGCATCTTCCTTCCCGCTGGGGTTTCTCAAGACTCTTTCCAATTGCTCTTTGCTCGCCCTTTTGATAGCAGACATATCCTCCCCTGACAAAGTCCTGGTGGGGTAAAGGAACCAGAAGTAGCATTGTCCCGGTACCAGAAACGCCCAACACAATGGGTAATTCTTGTTTGATGGGTTCGATGTGCTCACCTCTAATCCAGCAGATTGCTTCCCCAAATAAAAAACACAAAATCCATGTCTCTACCCACTAGCCTTTCTAGTGCTCTCTTTGAAACTAAGGTGCTTGAACTGTCAGAGGTCTGGGATTGCAGCATCTCACTCATGTGCTTGTGTGAAGCAATGACTGAAGCGCCATTGCTCTCTGAAAAACAAGGATCTGTGTCGAACAGTATCATGGAAAAAGAGCAAACACTTTACAAACTAACAAAATACACCAAAAGTATAGTTCTATTGTCAATTTAATTTGCTCAACTGACTCTGAGCTTTTTGGATCACACCCAGTGATGCTCAGGGGTTACTCCTGGCTCTGCATTCAGGAATCACTCCTGGCAGTGCTTGAGGGACTGTGTGGGATGCCAGGGATTGAACCTGAGACAGCAGCACTCGAGGCAACACCCCACCTGCTCTCCAATCACTCTGGTCCCCAGACCTAATTTTTTATGTTTGCTTAACTCTTCCATCTCCTGCCACCTTAGGTACCAACTGCACCATAATTGGGCATTCAGGTAAAGATGATTTCATTACTCTTAGTCAAGAAATCTGTTTCATTTACTGAAAAGTGCTGAAACACAGATGTGGGTTTCTAATTCTTTTAGGAAAAGAAAAGCAAATTTATTTGAAAATAAATTGTCTTTCATTCATGTTGGGAACGGCATCTAGTTCATTCTGGAAAGCAGTGTGAAGATTCCTCAAAAAAGTAAACAAAGAACTTCCATATGACCCAGTGATTCCATTTCTTGGTATCTACCCCAGGAACACAAAAATATTAATTAAAAAATATACAGGCATACATATGTTCATTGCATTACTGAGGATAATAGCCAGGATATGGAAATAATTCAATTATCCAATAACAGATAATTGGATAAAGAAAATGTGATATATGTGTATACCTCCACTCCAAGAACACAAAAAATATTAATTCAAAAATATATAGGCACACCTATCTTCACTGCTGAATACAACAGCCAGGATATGGTAATAACCCAGTTATCCAATGACAGATGATTGGATAAAGGTTGATATATGACCGATGTGGCACAAAAACAATGAAAAAAAATCCTCAACAAAATCTTATGAAATTGAACAATCCATATTCATGTATTGGAAGAATCAACATTGTCAGAATGACCTTTCTACCTATTGTGTGGAGTCAATGACATTGTTATACTATTACTGTTGCTTCTTTGTTGTTTCATTGAATTATTTCCTTTTAATTTGTTTGAATTTAATTTGCTCCATCTTCCCAGCTTTTTTTTTTTAAGGGAGCCCATCAGCAGTGCTCTCCTTTGGAGAGAGTACAAAAATCCTAACAGCAATTGTTCTAATTTGTGGATAGTATCTTTTCGTTAGACCTCTCCAAAACTTTTTGGAGAGGTTTTGGCTTATTCAGCCTAGGTGTTGTAATTGTTATGTTTTCCAGGATTGACCCTGATTTTATTGCGAGATGATCTTCTATGTCTCATGTCACCATTTTTATTGCGAAATCTACTTTACATAATATTAGTATTGCCATTTCAACTCTGTTTACCCCTCGCATTCCCCGTCTTGTTCCAGTTTTTAAATTTCAATTTCTACATATCGCTGCGTTTGAATTATGTAACCTGTAAGTAGCATATGGTTACATCGTGGTTTTTTTTTTCTTTTTGGGTCACACCCAGCAATGCTCAGGGGTTACTCCTGGCTTTGCCCTCAGGAATTACTCCTGGCGGTGCTTGGGGCACCATAAGGGATGATTGAACCCGGGTGGGCCGCATGCAAGGCTAACGCCCACTGTGCTATCTCTCTGGCCCTCGTGGTTCTTTTTTAATATGCTGATCTCTGACTTTAAATTGGAATGATCAGTGTATCTACTTGATTTTAGTTTTGGTTTGGGGCCCACACCCGAGGTGTTCAGAGGCTACTCCAAATGTGGGGCTTCGGGGATCCCTCCCAGCAGCGTCAGAGGGACTGCGCGGTCCAGAGACCACACCTGGGAGCTGAAATGCAGTGGACACCGCCCTCCCGGTGTAGACACACCCCGAAGTGCGCACCACAGTCAGGGGCTCCAGACACGGGTGCGGGGTGTAGAGCCAACAGCCGGGCAACAACGCAGGGCAGAGACCCCTCCAGAGATGCCACTACTTGTCTATGTGCATAAGGGACCAGGATGCCGCCCCACGAGGCCGGGTAACTGGCCTGATGTCCGTTAAGGGTCCGCGCTTGGCAGTTGTGCACGTGACATCACGCTGACTTTGAGGGGGGCGGGGTAGGAAAGCCTTGAAGGATTCTGGGAGACGTTGGAGGGCGATCGTACCGCGAGACTGGGCACGGGGCAGACTGCAAGAGGGCCCAGGAGCTCCTGCAAGAGAGCCAAGCAACGGACTGCTGAGGGTTCCTGGGAGCTCCGGCCCTTTCACGCGAGCCTCAGTGCTGGCCCTCAAAATCAGCGCTGGTGGAAGGAGTCCTCTCGATTTTAAAATGAGAAATGCCCGTCCCACGCAGCTATCGTGAGCATTTTGGAGCGGGCTGAGGAAAAGACACTAGCCCCAAATGGGGGCAATTACTATTATGATTTTGGGGCTCAGTAGCAGTTGCAAAGGTCCCATAAAAGAACAATCCTGGCAAAAAACTCTAGACCCTATAAACATTCTTAGAAAGTACATGTCTCTGACTGTATTCAGAGTTTCCCCCAAAGCATTTTTATACTTAGAGTATTACTGTGGAAAAACAGTATTTCTCTTACAGCATTTGTTTAACACTTGGAGTTTACTATGAATTCTCATGCAACTCCTTTTAAATTCATATTCTTGTTCTTGTTTTTTTTTTTTTCAGGGACAAAACACTTTCTAAGTACCAACAAAAGTCCCTTTCAGAGAATGTTCACTAGGAGGAATGCTCCAAATCATTCCCCTCTTCCCACAAACCCTACTTTCTGTAGTAGCTCTACTTCTGCAATATTCAAGAGAAGAAATGTCTGCCATGAGATTTGGTCAAGCTCCTCTGAATCTGAAACACCTCCCTGCCTGTAGTCTTACTGCAAAACAAAAAACAAACCCACAAACATGCTTCCACATCATTGGACATCAACGATGGAAGTAGATGAAGGGGAAGATTAGAAGATGAAAGTAAGGATCAACAAGTCTCTTTAGGGGGCTGGAGCGATAGCACAGCAGGTAGGGCGTTTGCCTTGCACGTGGCCGACCCAGGTTCGATTCCCAGTATCCCATATGGTTCCCCGTGCACCACGAGGAGTTATACCTAAGTGCAGAACCAGGAGTAACCCCTGTGCAATGCCCGGGTGTGACCCAAAAAAGCAAAAAAAAAAAAAAAAACCCAAAACAAGTCTTTTTAAAGATTGCTACATAGATTCCATAAAGATAATATCACACACAATGATAATATGGATTCTAAAGAGCATGCATATGTGACGCCGTAAGGAAATACACTACACTTATTAAGGACTAGAGTGGCAATACAGGGGATAAGAGTCGACTTGCATATGACTGACTCTGGTTTAATCTCTGGCGCCATATGTTCCCAAGGTAATACAGGGAGTGATACTTGAGCACAGAGCCAGGTTTGCAATGCTGGAAATGACCCCCAAAAAAACTAAATCATGAAGAATTAACTAAATAACAAAAAAAAATCACTGAGAATATGAAGATGTGATTTCTCCTTCAAAGCTTTGGCTTCCTATGTGGATCAGAGATTATGTTCTGAATTTTACTAAGAAGAAGTAGACTTTGTTGAAGTAGGTCAACAGGGAGTGAGAATTTAAAGAGGTTTGAGGGCCACACAACTAGACTGGTACTAGATTGGTGAGTAAAACATTGAGGTACAGTGAAGAGCAAGTTAAACCTGTGTGCTGAGAATCTGGAAAGTTGCTAGAAGAGGCCATGTCAGCTGTGCTACCAACTGACCAGTTTGAAGGAAAGCTCTGGTTCTGGCCGTCCAATCAGAGCCCTTCACGGAATGTTTCCCCAGCCAGGCCCTCCTGGCCCTCCCCTCCCCCACGGTGGAATGTCTTGGGTCCGACATTCTGAGGTTTGAATTCAAACTTCACCCTCACCCACTTGGATCCTGAGCATCTGCGTGAGCAGTTAACCCTCTGATCCTGGTCCTGACTTTTGCCATTGTGAAGGCTGATAAGCTGCGGGGGCCCTGGCCTCATCTACATGAACGATGTCAGAAACAGGTAAGCCTGTGAGGGTGTACTTGTATGTGGTGTGTGTGGGTTTGAGAGGAAGTCTCAACCAACCTTAGATCCTCGGGATTCAAAGGGTCACACTCACTGGGGACTCCATCTTGTGAAGGTGTAAGAAGGGAGAGAGCCCTGGGCTACATGGATGTCTCACCTGTATATTGGGGAGAGCCCAGAAGAGCCTGAGCGGGTAGTCAGGTTTGGAGATAATAACAATAATCGTTATTATTTATAATTATTTGTTCTGTCCATGGAGGTGGGTCAGACTGATTCAGGGGAGATTCAGAGTAAGGCAGCAGGCACATTGCTTCTTCATGTATGTGTCTGTGCATGATGGAGGGAACGGAGCAGTTTTTCATGTGTTTGTAGGAGCCTTGGTGGCTGAGTCATGATTTTAATGGTGACATAGGGAAGGCCCAAGGATGCTGAGCCGCATGACATTGCCTCAACCCCACTGTGACTGTCTAAAGTATCTCAGCTAGGGTGAGCTAGACCTGATGGTGTGTAGTGTGTCCTGTGCCCATCACCGGGAGTGTGTAGTGTGTCCTGCGTGTCTGTCACTGGGAGTGTGTAGTGTGTCCTGTGTCTGTCACTTGGAGACCTGCTGTGGGCATCTCAGCAGAGATGGTCTGAGCCAGAAAATGATTGAGACTGTTTGTGTCCAGTTCTGCCATGAAATGTCCTCTCCGGAGCCGGGGCCTGACTCTCTCTCACTCCTCTCTTGGCCCAGGCAGCTGTCCTGGGTGGGCAGGGCTGGCAGACAGGCAACTTCAGCCTAGTTACTAGGACTTGAAATTCCGAGTTGCTCTGGATTGTTCTCCCTTTAGAGGAAATTCACTCTTCCTGTCTAGCATCTCGTGGTGCAGTCCCAACCTGCGTTTCAGCACTGAGGGAAAGACTGATTGAATTTCACATTCTCCGTCACAGACAGGGAACGTGTGTGTGTGTGTTTGTGTGTGTATGTTTGTGTGTGTGTGTGTGAGAGAGAGAAAGAGAGAGAGACAGAGAGAGAGAGAGAGAGAGAGAGAGAGAGAGAGAGAGAGGCAGACAGAGAGACAGCGACAGAGCCAGTGGGGCGTTGGGGGGCTGATTTTCCCAAGGAAACTCTGTGAAGGCCAATTTGTTAGAGAGCAGGTGGAGTGTAACAAGGCATAAAGACCATCTTCGGCAGTAGCAGGAATGTCAGGCCGCTGTCCTGACCATGATGTCCACAGGCTCTGGGTTCTCTCCTGCTACGCTCTCCTAGGCTCCTCAGCGCATGGATGGCTGCAGACGACATTGTCTCTCCTGGCAGCTGGCTAATGCCTGGTGTTTAGTGGCCCGTGTCTGTCCCTGGGAGCTTGTGGCAGGAGATCCACAGACAGTGTCACTTCATGTCCGATCTAACATGACAAGCAGTTCCAAGGAGTGTGATGGTGTATTCTCTGGCCTTTTCCATCCCTGCTGCCATCATGGGAACCCAGGGCCCCAGAACCACTTTATAGATCCCTCTCCTGTCAAAGGGACTTCTGAGGTCAGGAGTGACTCGGTGTCTGGGACAGTGTGGCAGTACCAGCCAGTGTGAAGAGTTTGCTGTGGGTCTGATAGCACAGGGCCGGGCAGTGAGTGGTGTGCACGTATCTGAGCCCTGGGCTCTTCCTGAGTAGGAAACATCCCCGAAGAGTCTCGTCTCCTTAGTCTGGGAAGCAGGAGGGTCAGCACTGAGCCCCAGAAACTGCCTCTCCCAGCACAGTGTTTTAGGCTCAGGGTCATGATGAATAAGAATCCAGCCGGCAGGTGAGGAATTCCACCTGGGGTCGGGGACCGAACGCTGAGGACACTGCGTGCTGCCCTGTGCCTTGTAAAAGGGCCTTAATAGGGACCATCAGGACTGATGGACACTGGGGAGTAGAGGGACACGGGCTGCTACGCCTGTACATTCTCCCTCTCATCCCTCCTTCCTTCCATTTCCACAGCGTCTCCAGTGCTGACCCCGGAGATGACCATGGACCTTGGGGTCTCTGGCTCTGCTTTCGGCGACTTCTTGCCCTTCCTCAATCCAGGACTCCCCCAGTCACCACCCTGGGAGCTGATCCAGACGCCCCCTCTGGTGACCTCGGCCATTGCTCCTCACAACCCTCTGGTGCTGTCACCTTTCCCCACAATGCCCGTGGTGGCAGGAACTGCTGGACATGGCCCCTGCGACCCTGGACCTTGCAAGGTCATCATCCAGGTCAGTTCTGAAGGGAAGATTCTGGAGTCAGCCCAGAACCAGTCTGTCACCCAGACACAGGCTCCACCCAACCAGGGTGCAACAGAGGCTCCATCTGGGCATCCTGCACCCATCTACTTGGCATCCTCTGTGCCAAACACCGTTACAACCACCCCAGCTACTACTGTCACCCAGTCTGGTATGGGAGACCATCTGCCTCATGCTCCACCACCAGAGGCTCAGATAGTCCCCACTCTATTCTTATCCTCCGGTGGGATACAGCCCCAGTGGTTTTGTGGGGACAGTGATCCAGTCCCTGCTTGGAGCCAGGCCCCTCCTGAAGCCTCGCGCAGGCCCAACAGTGTCTATGAGAACTTCCAGCGCTGGAAGCTTTTGAAGGCTCTGACCCGGAGGTACCTTCCCAGGACTCCTGACACTGAAGTCCTTTCCTGCTTCCTCATGTGAGTCTTTCAGTGGTCATCGGGTTCATGGAGCTTCCCAGGAGGGGACTGGGGTGACCCCCAGGGTAGGGTCCATGGGACAGATGTTCTCAGGGATGCCATCCCGGGATTCTGGCTCAGGAGCCCGTAGTGACCAGCCATGTCCGAAAGCCTCACCTCAGTCATCTCATCAGGGTTGGTCCTGATATGTGGTCTGAGGGACAGACATTCTGTTCCTAAGACCAGACACAGCACAGATGTGCCAGGGTTCAGACAGGCCGTGACTTCTCGGCCTTGGCATCCCATGACATATCCCCAGAGCTGAGGGTATACGCCAGTACAGCCACCAGGGTAGGGTGTGGTATGCGAGGTCCACTCTGGGAGGGGAGACCAGGCCACCATTGGAGGTCAAGGCAGTCAAGGTATGGATGTGGGGCAGTGTGGGCTCCTGGCAGATGCAGACCCTGACCAAGCCTGTCCTTGTAGCCCGGTGTTTCGCACTCTGGCCCGCCTGAAGCCCACCATGAGCCTGGAGGAAGGCCTGCGCCTGGCCCTTCGGGAATGGCGGGGCACGAGCAACTATGACCGCATGATCTACTCCGACATGGCGGCCAAGTGAGTCAGGCCTGGGCAGAGAGTGGGGGTCAGGGTGGCTGCAGGCCCGAGCTTCAGGGGCTGGTCCCAGATGGCCAAGGGGCAGGGAGGGCTAGGCAGCCCCAGGAGACCCTTCCCCTGCAGAAATTTGTTCCTCCCGGAGCCGGGACACTTTTCCCCAGCCCACTCCGGGGCTCCTGACCACAGTCTGAGGGTCACAGTCCCTGACCTGCTGTGACCCTCCAGGGCCAATGTGGGGGATCGCTGGGGGTGCTGGGGTCCGTGTCCACCCCATTCTCTACCCTCCTGGGGACTGGGCCATGAGCATCCCCTGTCCCTTACTCATCCTGCTCAGTCCCGTTCAACCCAACTCATCACGGCCTGTGTTCCCCACACCAGGTTCATGGAGTTCGAGGCCGAGGAGGAGATGGAGGTGCAGAAACTGCAGTGGACGAACGGGGTGCAGGGCCTGCCACTCCCCGCCCCACCCAGGCCTGGGCCTCAGGGGGCTCCAGGCCCACCGCCAGACCAGCAGACAGGTACGGACCCTGCTCCCAGCTAAGGGCCACAGGACCTGGGAAGGCCCTCGTGGGTCTTGACCTGACAGGGAGCCTTCACTCTCCCGATGAACCCCAGACCTGTGGTCAGCGGCCCCCTGTTCACGGGTTTCTCCCTCTCCTAGCACATCCCATGCTGCCTCAGGCGTCAGACTCACCTTTGAAGTGGGGTCGGAGACCCTGGGGACACAGTTGGTCCCTCCTCCCATTGAGGGCCACCTCATCCCTCACGCAGCCACTGGATTCCAGGGCCCTGATCCAGCCCACTGGGACCTGTCCCCAACTCTGTGCTCAGTGCTGTGTGTCTGAGGGCATGGACGCGGGGTCCCCTCACATCCCTCTCTTCTTTCTTCCTCCTCAGCCTGTGTCCCCAAGAAGGCCAGACCCCAGGCCCAGGCAGCTCGCCCCAAGACACACAAACCTCAGCAGCCCCCCAAGTCCAAGGCCCCCGAGGAGATCCCTCCTGAGGCCGTGCAGGAGTACATGGACATCATGGACGAGCTGCTAAAGGCCCCCGACTCAGTCTGCAGGGCGCCCCTCGGCCAACGGGCAGTGGACAGGGAGGAGCAGCAGGAGGAGCCTGGGACCTACCCTGACCCGGGGCTCTTGAGCTATGTGTACGAGCTGTGCTCCCAGGAGGACTTTGTCACCAAGGTGGGGGATTGGGTGCTGCTGTGGGGTAGGGAGGGTGCAGGGCTGCTTCTATCCAGGGCATGGCAGTGATGTGCAGTCTTTGCTTTGAGCTCTCTGTGTAAATGCACACCTGTGTTTGCATATTTCTGCTTGTGTTTGTACGCATGTGTGCACATGTCTCTCTCTGTACACAAGCAGTGGCCCTTGTTTGTGCATTTCTGAGTTTGGTCAATGTGTGAATATCTCTGTGTGTCTACATTTGTGTGTAATGTGTGGGCGCAGTGCAGACATGTGCAGAATCATGTACACGTACCTAGAGGTGGAAGAGAGTGTATCATTTGTATCAGGTGTGTGCTTGAATCCATTTGTGCTCACATGTGCTACTCTGTGAGAGTAGGTATATAGTTCGTGTCCCTTTGTGAGTGCGGGTGTGTACATGTCTCTGTGTGTGTGTGTGTGTGTGTGTGTGTGTGTGTGAGCGTTCCCGGCTTGTGTCTGTGTGAGACTGTGCAGCCGTCCAAGCTGGTGCAGCCGTCTAAGCCCCTGAACTGTGCTGGGGACAGGAGTGTTTGCTTCCTCATTCCCTCCTGTTCCCTATGAGGACCCTCACCCCTGCTTCCCTCTCCCAGGTTGAGGCGATCCTTCATCCCAGCTTCCTGGAGCTCCTGCTCTGCCCAGAGTCCCAGCTGGATCTCCTGGACCTGGCTGAGGAGCTGGAGAAGGAGGAAGGACTCACCCCCACACAGGTGAGGGCAAGTGGACCTCTGCAGGTTTGTGTCAGGGACCGGGGCGTTCAGGTAAGGAGGTGAGCAAGGACCCTGGGCAAACAAAAAGGAGTTTTCTGGGTTGGTTCGGGGAAGGAGAGTCTACGGGTTAGACGGTGACTAAGCCTGGGAACTCAGATAAGTGGGGCTGCATGGGTCAAGGAGGGGCGCCCCAGAAGCGAGTCCCAGCAAGTGCGATGCCCCCCATGCCCCCTTCATGTGAGGCTTCAGGGAGAAGAGGACATGAATACTGGGTGAAGTGAGGATGATGGAGAGTGAGAAGGCTCTAAGGGAGCCACAGAGCTCAAGCATCTTCTGCTGAGAGGAGTAGGAGTCACTCTCTGTCCCACCCTGCACCCCCACATGCCCACACTGTCCCTTCTCCCCCCAGATTGTGGACAAGCGTCTGCAGGCCTCAAAGGCTAAGGAGGTCATGAAGGCTTGTCCCCAACACCAGGTGACAATAAAAGACTCCTGCCCCCCTGAGACTGACTCTGGACATGCCTCATGGCCTGGGCAGGCTGAGGCCACTGTGATGGCACCTGGAACCTCTGCCCCCTCCCTGGGGAGACTGCAGTCCCCACCCCTGCAGGCAGGACCAGTGCCCTGTCCCAGCCTCACTGCCCCCACTCTGGACAGCAGGCCTCCCCGTATGCTGGGAGAGGTCCCTTCTGGCCGGGGGTCGCTTGGGGCAGCAGAGGGCTCCAGTGAGGAGAAAGAGAAACTGACCAGCCAGGTCTTCCTCCAAGCCTCTCACAACAGCCTGCTGCCCTGGGGCTTACCCAAGAGCCCTGGCCCTGACACTGGCCCCGACACTGGCCCCCACCTGCCTGGACGTCAGGGGTATCCCGAGCTTCCATCCACTCGCACAAGGGCCTTCAAGTCTAAGGCCCCTACCAGGAAGCATCCTGTGTGTGGGGGCCCAAGGCGGGGCACTGCTAAGAAGACCCACTGTCCCAGGGAGCACCCCACGGTGTCTAGTGGTTCAGCTTTGACTGAGAAGCTGGAGGGCCCCTCCCTGCCCCCCAAGAGAAAGTTCCAGCCTGCCATGGCCCAGAGGAGGGGGAGGGGGCACAAGAGACAGTAGGATATCGGGGGGCTCCTCCTGACCACCTCCCAGGGTCTGGCTGCACCCAGAAGCCTTGTGTTCCCCATGATCTTCAGCTAAGACTGCTCTGGAATGGGGGGGGGGGGACTGTACCTAGAATGGGGGGTTTGACTGGAGCAGCCTCTTTGTGTCATTGTGTAAATAGTGAATAAAATTCAGTTCATTGGAAACATCTCAGTGTCTGTCCTCTCACTTGTGCTCCTTGGGAGGCCTGAGAGCACAAAGGGTGAGGGGAATCACAGGGGAGGGGGGAACCCTGAGAGTACTGTGCTCCCTGGAGAGTGGAGGAGTCCTTCCCATCAGGAGGAAGATGTGCTCAGTCACCTGCAGGCCCACACCATCCTGAGGGCATAGACAAGGCTCACATCTTGCTGCATTAGCCTGGACCAAATAAAAAATTAAAGCTCATTGGGTATTTGCATATCATATTCTTCACTCACATAAAATGTACAATGCTTTGATTTGACATCATAGAATTTAAATGTTTTTGTAACCAGACATATTTGAACATTTGCCATCACTCTTAAAAAAATATGTGGGAGGGATAGTACAGCAGATATGTCACTTGCCTTGCCCATAGCCAATTCCCAGCACCCCATATAGCCCCCACACTGTGATAAATGAGTCTGTTCCGAGATCCAGGAGTAAGATGTGAGTATACCAGGTGTACCCCCAAAACCAAATAATCATATAATAATAATAAAGGGGGCCGATTTAATGTACTGATTTAATTGTTAAGTGTTTTACCATTTAAATATGGTCCTGGTACCTGTAGAGAAGGTGTTTGAGAACCATTCTTCATTTTCAGTGACAAGATATTTGAAACTCAGGACCTTAGAGATTCTCAGGGAATTAGACTACTAGTTTTTAAAAACTAGTTACAACTCTAATTATTGAGAAACAGTAGGAAAACAACTCTTCAGTGTTAAACATTTTAATTCTCTGCACTTATCACTACTAACGGGCTGGAGCAATAGCACAGTGGGTAAGGCGTTTACCTTGTAGGCGGCCAACATGGCTGACCCGGGTTCGATTCCTCCGCCCCTCTCGGAGAACCCAGCAAGCTACCAAGAGAATCTCGCCCACTGGGCAAAGCCTAGTAAGCTCCCCATGACGTATTCAATATGCCGAAAACAGTAACAACAAGTCTCACAATTTGTTGTGAGACATTACTGGTGCCCGCTTGAGTGAATCGATGAACAACGGGAGGACAGTGCTACTTTTAATGAGGGCTGGAGCAATAGCACAGCGGGTAGGGTGTTTGCCTTGCATACAGCCGACCCAGGTTCGATTCCTCCGCCCCTAGTAGAGACCGGCAAGCTACCGAGAGTATTTCGCCCACATGGCAGAGCCTGGCAAGCTCCCCGTGGCATATTCGATATGCCAAACACAGTAACAATAAGTCTCACATTTGTTGTGAGACATTACTGGTGTCTGCTCATGCAAATTGATGAACAACGGGAGGACAGTGCTACGGTGCTATTACTAATGAAAAGTTAAGCATAAAATGTGTTTCTTAAAATATTTAGTGAATTTGAATTCACGTAAAATTACATTGCAGAGAGGGAAGGGACGAACTAGAAATTACAAAAAGGCAGTGGCAGAGGTGTTTGGACACGTTAGTGGGGATGAAAGTGAATAACATGCACCCCCCAAACAGAATTATTAAAACAATTTGGGGGCAGTTGGGTCACACCCAGAAGTGCTCAGGCTCCTCATGGCTCTGTACTGAGGAGTCACTCTTTGTTTCTGTTTGTTTATTTGTTTGTTTTCTGTTTTAAGGAGAGGAAGCTTTTTGGGTCTCACACGGCCATGCACAGGGGTTACTCCTGGCTCTGCACTCAGGAATCACTCCTGGTGGTGCTCAGGTGACCATACGAAATTCTGGGAATCGAACCCGGGTTGGCAAACGCCCTACCCGCTGTGCTATTGCTCCAGCCCTGCTGAGGAGTCACTCTTGACTGCTCCAGTGAACATACGCTGTCCCGGGGACCAAACTTGTGAGCTTACCCTGCACTGCTGCTAAACCCTGGCAGACGTCTGGGGCCTCCTGGGGCCTTATTGCCTCAGAAGGTGCCCGTCTGCTGGTCCATACAGGACTGCCCCTCTGCGGGTGCTGCACCTGGGCAGAGGCCGGGGCACCTCGGCTGTGCTCCCCTGGAAGGCTATGTTGGCTGCTGGGCCTGCAGGAGGACAGGACACCCCCCTGAAAGTGGTTCTGGGCTGGGCGTGTGTCTGGCAGCACATGGCCTTTGCGCCCCTCAGTACGCATGTGCAGCCATTGGGCTGGTTTCAGGGTCTCTCTTGGGGTTGGTGGGGGGGGGGGTCTTCCCAATGAATGCTCAGGAGGTCTGGGGGCACCATGAGGGATTCTTTATATTTTTAAAACATTCGGTACCATGATTTCTAATGCTACTGCGATAGGGTTTCATGGACAGAGTGTCTCTCCACCACACCAGCACCAGAGTGCCCACCGCCCTCTGCTACAGTGATGGAGGTCCATGAACACAGTGTCCTACACACCAGCACCAGAGCACCCACTGCCCACTACGCACTGCTACAGTGATAGGGGACCATGGACACAGTGTCCTACACACCAGCACAAGAGCGCCTGTCTATCTGTCTGTCTGTCTGTCTCCCCCCCACCCCCTCTCACTTCCCTTTTAGGCAGTGTGGTTTGCAATACTGTTACTGAAAGGGTATCATGAGTATCCCTTTACCTCCTTTCAGCACTGCCCACTGCTACAGTGGTAGGGGTCCATGGACACAGTGTCCTACACACCAGCACCAGAGCACCCACTGCCCACTACCCACTGCTACAGTGATAGGGGACCATGGACACAGTGTCCTACACACCAGCACCAGAGCACCCACTGCCCACTACCCACTGCTACAGTAATAGGGGACCATGGACACAGTGTCCAACACACCAGCACAAGAGCGCCTGTCTGTCTGTCTGTCTGTCTGTCTCCCCCCCACCCCCTCTCACTTCCCTTTTAGGCAGTGTGGTTTGCAATACTGTTACTGAAAGGGTATCATGAGTATCCCTTTACCTCCTTTCAGCACTGCCCACTGCTACAGTGGTAGGGGTCCATGGACACAGTGTCCCTTCACCACACCAGCACCAGAGTGCCCACTGCCCTCCCCAGCCATGGCTCCAGTCCCCTCTCCCCCAGACCATCTTCCCCTGCCACCCAGGAAACTCCACTCTCTAAACTCTTCCTTAGTTTTTATTGTCTCTGGCATTTATTATTTCCTTATTACAACTCTTTATATGCCACATCTGAGGGATAGATCTATGCACACCTATGTAAACTTCATCACTGGCATTTCTTGGCCAATTCAATGGCAATTCAGTGGCAGGGTGCCTCCAGGGCTGCACCCAATGATGCATGCTGAACATGCTCCCAAACAGCTCTAAGAGCTCCCAGACCCATGGAGGTCAGTTCTTTCAAAGGGGTGATTAACAGGAAAGAGATCACTGATAAATACCCAAACCCAACAGGACTGGTGTCCTGATGAGAAGAGACACGGATTCACACAGAGGCACCCACACATGAAGTGGAGAGGCCTCGGGTGCGATCAGCCCTGCTGCCCCTGCATCTCAGACCTCCAGGTTCCAGAGATGTTTCCATCATTTGCGTTATGGGCCTGTCCTATTGTTTCTGAGAGAGGGCAGAGATTGATCATCATCTGGGAAGTTATGCTCACCTTCGACACAGGGGAGAGTCTACCAACGTGGACACAGACAACTCTTTTAGCAGGTGCCAGTGGCCTCAGTGGCCTGCCCTCCTGCCAGTCAGCCTTCCTGCCAGACCTCTTTCCTTGACCAGGGGTTCAGATGACCAGTCCACAGGAAGGGACATGCACCAATTTCAGAGCAAGGTGAGCCTTTATTTGGTTTTGCTTTATTTTTTCCAGGCTTGGGTTTGGGATCATAACAGATGGACAGAACCACAGAGATGGTGGCAAGTGTGAGGCTCCAGTAAGAATGCTGAGGACTGGGGCAAAGAGCAGGGACAGAATGTTCTTCGGTCACTAAAGGTCCTGCCACAGGGCCTTAAGCACTAAAAGCAACAGTAGCCAGAGCTGTAGAGGTCTGAGGGTTAATATCGATGAGCTGGAAACTGGCTAGGATTCATATAGAAATGGGACCTCAGGAGGAGCAGACAAGGAAACAGGAAGAGGCACAAGTCTCTGGATCTGGACGATCCACTTGATGAAATGGGCAACACTGGTGAAGACACTGAGGGATATGGGACGCTGGCAGTCCAGACCCCAACTGGCCAACCCCAGAAGAACCCAACTCTTGGAGAAGTTAAAGACCAGAAGGCCTCCAGAATCACCCT